GGAGGTTCTGCTGGCTTTTTGTGAATATGCTCACATGCTCTGGACCGAAGCATCTGGAGCGCTGGTTGGCAGGAGAGAGCTTTCTAACAGGCTTTAGCAGATTCTCATGGCTGTTTGTACATGTTCTCATATGTTTTGTTTATGTGTTCATTAAAATAATAATTATTAAACTATTCATCAGTGGCACCCTGAACTGTTCTGATCAGTTGATATTTAGGTTCTGAAATGATTTGCTGGATCCAGCCTCCTAAATCGAGCCGCTGACTTCCTCTCTGCTGTTTTTGGATCACTGTAAATGTCTCTGGTTGTGTTGCTCAAAGAGCCAGAAACTAAAGCGGTCACTCTGTTTTTTAAAGTGTTCTGATGTCAAACAACCAGTGTGTCCGTTAGCTGACAAAACAACCAGTTGCAGCCTTTAAAACGGTCACAGAACCGATTGGTTTCCTTGTGGGCTGACAGTACCGCCTGCCTGTGACTCCTGTACGTCAGCATGTGTGCACACACGTGAATTCCAGACACACAAAACCGTAAAACTGCTGTCGCAACACGCTGTGAGAACTTGTGGGATTTTGCGCCTGTGGACACGTTCCTGACCCGCTCGGTTCTGTACATTGTGTCACGGCTTCTCTCTCTGATGTGTGGCCGCCTCACTGCTCCACAGAGATGTGTGGAGTCAGCACAGGCCTTTCTGCTGGTCCTGCTGATGTGGCAGTGTGAAGGCTGTGATTATGTGTCTCCCAGGTTACACAGGATGAGACGGAGGCCTGCACTCTGTTTGCCTCATTCTTGTAATCAATGAAATGAAAACCCAGCAGAACATGCTGCTTTGCAGACTTGTGTAAAATCTTAAGTACAGAAAAAGTTGTGACCAAAGTGTCGATACGTCAGCAAATTTGGAAAAGTGTTAAAATAGATGTTAGTCAAAGAAGTGAAAGTTAATGTAGCTTCTCAGCAAAAGCAGGTTTGATAGATTCTTCAACAAGTCCTGAGAATGGTTGTGTTAAATCAGCAAAGTGTTTGTAGGTTGAAGGTAACCAGAACGTTTCTCCACTGTGCACAGCTCCTCAGAGCACGGCTCACGGCAGCTCCTTCGCTCATCGCGGTGAACTGCGGCAGGCCAAGAGGATCGTGGTGAAGCTCGGCAGCGCTGTGGTCACACGTGGCGATGAGTGTGGTCTGGCTCTGGGCAGGCTGGCCTCGATTGTGGAGCAGGTGAGACATGGACTCTGTTTTAGTACAACAGCTTTAGAGTCCTGTAGACAACAAGAAGATCAGCAGGAAGTAGAAGCTTTGACANAAACCCTACACATGGCAACAGGAAGCCAGTAACAAAGAAAACAGATTTCATGGTTTCATTGTGAGTTACTGGTAAATAAGACATCATTACACCGGGGACACAATTTGTCAAGTTTCTTTGTCAGCGACACAAGCTGTGATTATTACTAACAGATATATGTTGGGGTAATATGTCAGGGAACTTTTTGAATTCATTTCTTTCCTCATCTGCATCTCTCCTCCTGGACGATTATCTGTCACCCAAATGACCATGAAACAAAATCTCTAATTTAAAAAAGTATACAGAACAAAACTGTCAAAGAGCATGTAATCTTTCATTGGATGTGAGTATTGTAGCGTTACAGAGCGTGACTTCTGATCAGGGAAGCAGGCCGACCACCAGAACACGTCACCGGACAGCTCAGGAGCAACAGAACACATTCACTGGATCATAATGTGCTGTAGTTTGGCATGGACAGAATCCTCAACACTGACACTGTAAATAAACTCTGCATGTGTCTGTGATGTGCACATATTTCTAACTGAATGATGCTTCCATGTGAACTTTAAATGAACCACCACATCTTCTCCTGCTTGTTTTGAACAGTGGTCACCCTGATAGTTAAAATGTGAACTGTGCTAGTATGACTCTATGCACATCAGATATTTAGGGAGATTAACTGTAAAATAAGAAACCAAAGCTCAGCAGCATGAGGTTCTTATTCTGACAGGTTTCAAACACATTCACAGCAACAGAACCAGAGACGAACAGAACTGCAGCCGGACGTTCAGGGACTCCGGTAGCAAATAAAGTTATGATTTAAAATAAGGTCAAAACACTGATTTAAAAAAGACAAAGAAAAAAGAATGAACCATTTCTTAATTTTTATTTTGAAACGCGAGTCTTCCTGCTGCACTTCCGATCTCTTTCCGCATTTCGCCGGCCGGCTTGACGTCACATCCTGCCACTTCACCGCTACTTTACAAGGATTTTCTGGAACATTTTAATTCATTGTTTAGACGGTGGAATTCATCGTTTGTCTTTGCCGTTTGCAGCGTGACTCAGGATCCGGTGGAGGCGGTACCGGTACCGGCACCGGCAGCTCCGGGTGTGTTCGTCGCAAACGGCGGCGACAGTTTGATCAGCAGCGGAGTGAGGACCAGGGGAGGAGCCGCGCACATGGCAGAGGACCACCTCCATCCACACTG